GGAAAGAAAAATAATTGAGCCTTGTTAACCCGAAATTGCATCAATTTATGTGATACAAAAGACAAAGTACTAACCCAAGTATGACATAGGAAGAAAGCCATTCGGTGTTATCTTAGTCAATGACATTCATTATATGTCTTGAAATTCCATGATAAATCAAAATAATATTATTTTGAACATTTTTATAAATATATTTTAAGTCAAAACTGAAACGGAAGTTACTTTTACATTTCTTTTTGTCATTTGAGTTTTGGAATCGTTCTAGTAACATGCTGCAAGCATAGTAAGGTTCCATCTTGAGGGACTCTCAAGATACATAACATAGAAGCTGTTGAGTAAAGTTAAATATGTTCTCAGCAATTGTAATTTGCAACTTAATCCTGACCCTTCTCTTGGATAACATTGGCAACTCTGCACTGTTCATTTATGTGAAGCTTCTCCCTTTCTTCCGTAGCAAATTTGAGCTTCTCTAGTTCGTTATCACCTATAATAAGGATAACATTATTTTACATATTGGATAGCATAACGGATATTACATATTGGAACATCACAAATATAGCTAATCAAACCAACCTATGTTACAAATCAATTTGTTTTCTTTTTTACCAGAGTTTTAAACTAATAAATAGAACTTACGGGTCCTAATTGTTTCCTGAGCAGAATCTAGCTTCAAAGACAAACCATCCATCTGTTTATTCAAGCTATCGAGAGCTTCTGAACTTGCTGACAGTTTATTTTCCAATGTTTCCTTATCTTTTTCAGCTATGTCAGCAATAAAAACAATTGACTAGTTAAAGGAAAAATTAAACAGTAAAAAAAAAACAGAGGGAAATTGAATATTCATACCATCCTGAACCAGACCAGCCAACTGCTGTAAAGTCTCCGTAAGTTGATCACATAAAGTCTTGGTAGAAGAGAACTTGGACTCCAATCCCTTCCACAGTTTCTCATCTTCCTTCTGCTTGACCTTGAGCTTGGCATTTTCGTTGAAGGCATTCTGCAATTTTTCTTCTAATGCATGCACATGCTCCTGCGATTTCTTAAGCTTAGCATTCTGCAAAGCAACAGCAAGAAAGTAACAACATTTCAATAAAACAACGAAACGAAATCCAAAGCATCATACACTTCAATTAACGTGCGTCCGTTCCTAGCCACAGCACAATCACAAATGAAAATATCATCATACCGCATTTTCGAGATCAGTCTTCACCGAAGCTTGCTCTTTCACCAATTTCTCTGCACATGAAGAAATCAACGATGCATGGCCACATTACGATAAAAAAAATTCCGACAGAATGTTCGTTCAGGAGGAAAATAGAACGAAAATGAGAGAATTGAAGTGAAATTCGGATCAAAACCTGCAGTGAGCTTCAGGTTCGCGAAACTACCCGATGAAATGGAATCCGAGGAAGGACGCGAAGAAAATGGCTTCGAAGTTCCCGAAATTGAACCGTACAACGATTTGAATTGGTCGAGGCTCTTGGAGACCGGGAATCCTAGCTTCTTTTGCATTGCGAAGATGAAATGGAAACCTAGAAATGTGAGTGCAGTGTTAGAGAGTTTCTCTTCTCCGCCACTCTACTCTGCAAGGGACGGTTCAGTTCAGAGTGTAATTGAAATTTAAATAGGCGCCAAGGTGCGTCGTATTTATACTATTGCGCGAGCGCCACTTTGGCGCTTCTTGTAGACCGTTAAGTGCTTTAGTTGGCAATTTATGACAAAATAGCGAGAAATGAAATGAAGCAGTCAAGTTTTATTTTTTAACGATAAATAATAATAATAAATTCCTCGTTAAAAAATTAAATAATAAATAATGTGGCGAGCAAGGGTCAATTATCTTGGGTCCAACCCTTTTATATTTGGAGTTGTGTGCATCGAATTTAAATCCCTCCATTAAATGAGAATAAAATAAATAGAATTTTATGGGGGCGTATAGACTAATCTTAGGATCATGGGCCAAATTGATATTTTTAGAAATGATACTTCCCTAAATTTTGATGTGTATTAAATTGAGATTTTATAAAACTATTTTAGTAGTCTTATAAATTTTAAAAGATTTTATAAGAATGTGGTGACTTTTAAATTCTTTTTAAAGATTTTGTGAGGATATAATAACTTGTAAGATTTTTTAAAAGATATTTATAGGCAAAATTTCATAATATGAATTTTAATGAATTTATATCATAAAAATTTATAAGATTTTAAAGGATTTTATGAAATTTTAAAAGATAATATGGATTTTTAAAAAACTAATGCAATTAATAAAATTTATATAAATGATAAGATTTGAATAAAGAAAAATAAAATTAATACAAGTTTTTTTTTTTCTTTTAATAAATAAATGATTTTATTTCATGTTTTCTTACGTAACATTTATTTACATATATCTTTCGATACATTGATATTTTTTCATTCATGCAATTGAATTTAAATAATGTATTAAATTTATGGTATTTATTAATTGATAGAATTATCAAATTGATCCGGCCTAAGGCTAACTCATTGACCACTAGGTCAAGCCAGGTTGGGTTTTTTTCTTTTAAGCTCGAAAAAAATTGGGTCGATTTGTTCCTACTCGATGATATATATTTTTTTTTTGCTTTTAAGTTTCATATAAAATTATTAAAATAAATAATTATTTTTGAGTTATATCATATGTGTGTGTGAGAGAGAAAGATAAGCACATATATTAATTTAATTATATTTTGTTAGGTTGGAGAGTTTTAACATTAGAGAGCACTCCAATAGGTAGTGAGTAAACCACATGAGTGAGTTTGACACCACAATATAATCCAAAATCTTAATATATTTGGTATGTGAGTCCTTCTTACTTATATATTACTCAACATATTCAATTCTAATCGATGTGAGACTCACTTCACACTTGAACTCTAATACTCTTCCTTGAGTGTGAATCTCTTCCACATAACAAAAGTTTTTTTTTTCATTTACAAGTATTTAATAGTGACATACTTGTATCATCGTTAGCACATTTTACGTCCGCTATTGGATCTCCTACCAATTCCATTATCGAGGTCTCACTCTTGGATTTACCGCCAATTTTATTGGCCAATATTCATTGATGGAGTTTTGACACTAAGGAGCACTTTAATGGATAATGAGTAAATCACAAAGTGAGTTTGACACCACAACATAACACAACCTTAATGGTGTGTTTGGATAAAGAATTTTACAAATTCAATAAATTTTAAATTCTTGGTATTTAAATTACTTTGATTTCAATTTTTATCATTTTTAAAATATTTTGTTTGGATAAGTCAATTCAAATTTCTTAAATTTTAAACTATTAGGTTGGATATGATAATTTGATTCTACCATGGTAAAATTAATTTTAAAAATATATTTATATGTTGAGATTTTTAAATTAATTTTTATAAAAATAAATATTAACTAATTTTTAAATATTTAATTTTTTTTTTAAATTAATATTAGATAATATTTAATAATGTTAAAGATATTTTTGAATATTCAATAATTAAAACATGAAAAGATAATAGATAAGATAAAATATATGAGTGAAATAAGAAGGAAAAAAATGAGGAATTTCAAATTCTTACTTTTTTGGGAGAATTTGAAATTCTACTATTTTAAGGAATTTCACAAATGCTTGAATTTCTAATTCTTTATAAATTATCCATCCAAACAAGGTATTTTACCCCCAAAGAATTTGAAATTCTTTAAATAAATGAATTAATCTATTTAAAATCTCAATCCAAACACACTATAAAGTATTATATATGTGAGTTTTCCTCACTTATATATTACTCAACATGTCAAACTCTAACTGATGTGAGACTTACTTCAAACACGTCCAAATTGTTTTAAAAATCGGATTGAACCGGTCGGTCAGACTAGTTGAACCGGGAATCGGTGGTCCAGACGGTCCGAACCTTAAGTTGGATCGATTATGCATTTGACTCGTTTCAAACCGGATTCAACCAGTCAATTTTCGGGTCCAACCAGTGAATCAATGGGTCAAACCAATTCAACCACAATTTTTTTTAAAGGGACCACAAATCACAAAAATAACAATGAGAATTGAATCTTTTAATGGTAGAACAAAGAATCTTATTAAACATAACAATGACTACTTGTTCTAATGTATTTATTTGTAATATATGCAACTTAAATAACTTTTATAGCATATTATTAATTTTAAATTATATATTTAATAATATAATATCTATGTAGATATTACATATTTTATTTTGTGATATCAATTGCAAGCATATTATATATGTACATATTATTTATATTTTCAATTTGTATTAATACACAATTTAACATGTACTTTTTTAGTGTATTTCTTTATACAAAATAAAAATAAAGATAATTTTAAATAAGATGAAAATTGAAATTTAAAATAGGACATTAACATTAATTTTTTTAAAAAAATTAATAAAAACCAAGTCATGCGGTTCAATTAGTGACTCACTAATTCAACCTTTGGCCCATTGACCAAGTACCCTAACCGGTTTGATGACCGATCCGATTTTTAAAACTATCAAGTTGATATTACATATAACTTAAATAGTGAAATTTTCACTCTCATAAATTTTTATATATTTTGAAAATACATTTTACATACTAATTCTCTTTAATTAGTTGTGTTTAATGAAGAAATTAAAAAGTTAAGATGATTGAAATTTTAATTGTTTTGATTGTACAATTTAATTCAAATTTCTAAGAATTAATTTTCACTATATACAAAAATTGTTTTTTAACATGTTTTAAAAAATAATATTTTTAATATTAAATTTTATTAAAAATAAACATTAGTTAAATTTTAATAATTAAAAAAATTTAGCAATAGATAATATTTAATGATTAAAAAATAAATATTGATAAACTAAATATCAATATTGACAAATAATAAAAAAAAAAGGAGAAAACATAAAGAGAAAAAGAGATAAATTAGAGATGTGAAGAGAAAGAGAAAGAGAATGTGAGATAGAGAAGAAAGAGACAGAGAAAAGAAAAGATGAGATATGGAAGGGAAGACAAGGAAAGAGAGAAAGAGAGAAGAGAAGAGAAGGGAGAAAAAAAAGAGAGAAGAGAAAGGAGAGATAAAGAAAGAAGAGAAGAGTGAAGAGAAAGAGAAAGAAGCAGGAAAGACACCGAGAAAATTGAGAAAAAAGATAAATAATAAGAAAAAAAAAATAATGTAAAATTTTAAACATTTTAATAATATTGTTATATGAATTAACTATATGTAGATTGTCTTAAAAAAAATTCCACAAAACTTATCATTCAAAATAATCCATTGCAATTTTTAAGTTTTTGAATAGGAGCAATTTTTTTTACTAAAAAAAGTTTTAATTAAACTATGAGATTTTGACATATTCCTAAAATAATCTTAATTATCTTATTTAAATACAACCTAATTTTGATTTACTTTTAAAAAATCTTAATTATTTTAATTATATACCACATAATTTTTTATATTAAAAAGTTTTAATTAAATATCATAAATTTTTTTATAATAATTTTTTAAAATCTTAATCAATCACACTCCGATAATCTAAAATGTTATTACGTTATTGTTCTGTAAATGTTTCAATTTTCGAGAATTCATATTGTTTGGCTAAAGGGTACGCAATGGATTTGTTTTTTTAATTCTTTTTTGGCATTTTGGCTAGTTAGCTGAATTTACACAAGAAAATAACGCCTTAATCATTTCTATGCCAATGAAATCACAAACAAAATCCAGAGAATCATGTCATATAAACAGTGAAATAGACAATGCTACCACTCAACGACATGCTTGAAGTTCAGAATTACTCACAATGGTTCAAATCAAGCGCTAAGGATTTTCAAAAACGTTTTTGCCTTGCTTATCATTCGAAGCTCTTAATCATTGATCAATTGCTATCTAAACTACCGATGCAACCACAACCGCATAAAAGGGTAGGTTAAAAATTTATTTTTGGGAATATTGAGCAGAAAATGTTATATTTTAGATTTGTTTAGAATTTTGAAAAAATATTCTAAGGTATAATTTATTTTCAAGAAAGTAATCACTGTTTTAGGACTTATTTTTAGGCTCTTACACGATTACACCTCAGGTATAGTTTATTCTCAATAAACTGATCACTGTTGTAAGACTTATAATATAGATCTTTTTAGACTAAAGATGTATACTCGACAAGTTTTTAAATTGAGAAAGAGAGAAAAGAGTTGTGTGTTTTGTATATTCGACTTTTACTAATTCTCAATTTTTAGACTAAAGATGTAATCGACAAGTTTTTAAATTGAGAAAGAGAGGAAAGAGTTGTGTGTTTTGTATATTCCACTTTTACTAATTCTTAATATTTATAGAAAGAGATATTAATTGTTATAATTAATTACGAGAATTATATTTGATAATTAAAATTAATTAAAAATACAAATGTTATGTTATTATATCTCATAAAAATTAATATTAATTAGATTTTAAAGCTTATAATTAATAAAATAATTATTTTAAATTTAAGTTTAAATTTGAAATATTTTTATAAATAAATTAATCTTTTATAATATATCAAAATATATAATAATTCTTCACATATTTCAAAAAGTTTAAAAATATATTTTT